AGCAATTATCTCGGGTCTGAGTGGTTCCCCCAACACTGCCCCCAGGTCAGGCCATGTTCTTGGAACTGTGCCAGGATGTGACAGACCAGCCTTGCCAAGTTTCCCCGGTTACTACTGTCAGTTTACACCATTGGTCTTATCGTGATCCTATCCCATGATCCTATTCTCCAGCAAACAGAATAAAGCAAACAAACAAACCCCACCAATTGGGGCATAGGAGATGTTAAGTGGTTAAGAGTACTCACAGGCTGCTCTTCCAAGGAGCAGAGTTTGACTCCCAACACCACACAGCCGCTCACAGTGTCTGTAGCTCAAGTCCTCTCCTGGCATTCATTGGCATTACGTGCACATGGTGTGCTGGCATTCATGCAGGCAAAACACATCTATTCACGTAAAATATAATGAAAAAGAATTAGCAGGTTCAACTTTGGGTCTTCATTTCTGTACGTCTCCTGGGTCTGTCAAATACATTAAATTAGTTTATAGCCTTTTTTTTTTTTGTTAATCTGCCATCTATTATGTGGACCCAGATAAGAACCAAAAAGGACAGGAGGACAAAGATATTTTCCTTCCTTTTAGCATGTCATGGTGCAGTGTCCACATGTGTACTTTGGTTTTGTAGGAGCAGGGTGACACAGTTTGCTAAGGAATGAACTATTAAGGACGATGGATGTTTTTTGAGAGATCTTGGGTTTGCTATGTGAAGCTGTTGCAGTACAGCCTCAGGGGTGGAAAGGGAAACCAAGTTACCTCCACATAGAGTCCATCTTATCTCCTGGGGATGCAGCATCTGCAGCCACCAGTCTGGGACCCAGGAAGACCACAGCTACTACCGCAGACGTGTGACATCCCAGACTGCCCCACACTTGTCTGATTAGGGACTGGGCAAGCCTGAGAGCACAGGTTGTCTGTTGCTTACAGAATTGTCTTGAAGAAGAGATGATATTTAAATTACTAGACATAAAAAATAATATTTTGAAGCATTGTCAATCATTGCGCTAAATTTCTGTCTTTGTGACATTGTGCTTGACCTCCTTTATAGAATCCATCTGATTAGGGAGTATCGCGAGGATGAAAAATCACAGCGAACTTTATTCAAGGAAAAACAAATTATTGAATGATATTTGTAAAAACACAGTCAGGCTGACTTGATTCAGGATAGTGGTGACAGGCATAGAACCATGGCAACAAGGGCTTGTTGTGGAAAAAGGTATCAGGTTCAACCCTGAATACAGCTAAGAGTCAAGTGGGAATTGATATTCAGAAGTCAGCTGTGTGTGTGCGAGGACGGGGGTGGACAGGGCATTGCTAAAATACCGTATCAGAGTTAAGAAGGTGCTGTTCTCTGAATACAAAATATCCGCCAGTTGTTTGACTGCTTGGTGCTGTTTTTGCAGACGGTGGAACCTCTAGGAGGCAGAGCCACACTGGAGCAAACAAGGGGATGGGCCTTCCTATTTGCTATCCCACCCCTGCTTCCTGCTCATCTGGTACCAGCAGGATCTTGCCATCTTTCTTTTGCCTCCCTGCCTTTCCTGCCATCGTGGTTTTCATCTCCCTAAACTGTGAGCCCAGATAAACCCTCCCCCCTTACTCTGTGTCCTTTAAGCGTTCTATCAGGGTATCAAGGAAAGTAACAGCTACAAGAAGTTTCTGGCTGAACTGATCTACCAGGATAATTCTGTAGTCGGGATGGTCAGACATTGCTGAGTGAATGGTGAATATAAACCTGATCAGATACTCGCCATCATCAAACTTAAGAAGCCTCTTTGCTAAAACTGGATTTTATAGGGCAGTGCATATTAACTCGGCTCCTAGGATAAGCTTGTGAAGTCTCGCTAAGGCTTAGCAAAGCAAAGAGTCTTTGTAGTTAATTTGAAATGGGTTTTATTAAAATATTGACTTGCCTTTGACTTACTTATGTCTGATGTTCAGGTATCCTGTTCCTGAGATGTGTACGAATGACTCTGGCTGAGCCTCAGAGGCGCTTCTGGGATTGTTTGCTTTAGATCACTCCAGGTGGACACAGATATCTTAGAGGGCAGTATTCCTGCAATTACCAAGATCTTAGCAATAATTGGTGACTAAGTAGCAAGACAGTAAATCAAATTTCCTTTTGGGCCCCATTATTAACTGAGTGTTTTGTACCTCGAGAGAGCAGCAGGCAGCTTGGTGACAGCTGCTGATCCCAGGACTCTATGGCACGGAGTAGATTGGTCAGGAAATGAGGATCTGGGAGAATCTTGCTACAGGTGCTCCTGGGCTCACAATGTGTTGGGCATTGAAGATGTCATACGTCAAAACACATTTAATATTTCCAACCCTTGAACTTCAATCTTCACCTGAACACCACATTGTCAGTGGTGTTTCCTGGAGCTTCAGGAATACCAAACCCAACCCTCAAAGTGTGGTTTCCGTGCAGTGTGGCTCTCACACCACGGCCAAACCGGAAGGCTGTAGACTGAACCTCGTAAGTTAGGTAACATCTTGATTCTGGTTCTGAGTCACCTAAAAACTCAAAGTATTGAGATCGGGGCAGATGTGCCTCTTGTAGAGCTGGCAGGGGTGCTGTGAGCAAGGGAACTGTCATAGAATCCATTCTTGGAGTCGCTGCCTTGGTTTAGGGTATTGTCTCTAGACAGCTCGTGTTCAACACACACACACACACACACACACACACACACACACACACTGATCTGTCACCAGTGGCCATTTCCACAGTGTTACTGTTCTGCTGTTCTAGAGAGCCAGTTATGGTTGGGAAAGGTTCCTCTTGTGTTGTTTACCGCTTCCAACACACACAGTCAATCCCTCTCACACACAGAGAGTCTGTCACACACACACACACACACACAGTCTCTCACATAATACACATACTGTCTCTCACACAGAGATACAAGTCAGTCTCTTCCACAAATGACCTCTCTCTCGCACGCGCGCACACACACACTGACAGAGAGAGAGAGAGAGAGAAAGAGAGAGAGAGAGAGAGAGAGAGAGAGAGAGAGAGAACTTGAGTAGTTTCGTTCCTCCATCCTTTCTTAGCACAGCACAGTGTGTACCAGGTAAATCCTTTTTTTTTTTTATCACTACAGAGGAAGCTAAAGACACAGGTGTGTGGGGTCTGGTTGGGAAGTCATTGAGGATCAGATGTTCTGGGGAAGCTATCCGTAAGGCTTGAGATATCAGCTTTGCTTCTCTCTCACCAATTTTAATTCACCAAGAAAAACCAACAGTAAATAAAACATCAAAAGAGGCTAAATGGGTCATGTCTTGGACTGTGTCCCTGTTAATCTGGGAACTGCTGAATTGAGTGCTCAGCTGTTAAAAATTAAGAAGCCATTGGAAAGCTCAAAGAACAAATTTTCCGTTACATTTCAATTTTTTTCTTTCTTGTCAAAGTTTTTTTTTTTCCTTAATTGGTTGTTTGCTTGTTGGCTTGTTTTAATGGTGACTTTATTTTGACGTTTGTGGTCTGGGTGTATGAAATCTGTTAACTTCAGAAATAAAGCCATGTCAATTCACAAGTGGCCTGAAAGAATTAACGGGATTTTCAATGTTAGGAAAATTCAGTGTTACTTGGAATACCTCATTTATTTATATATTGTGATTGGCATTCAAAAGTAGAACAGTTTCGGGAAAGACAGGAAGTTTCTGAGTCAGAGGCAATGCCGGGGCAGTCCACAGTTTTAATTTGTATCGAGAGTCAGGGCAGTCTTGCATGCAGTACCCAGGAGACAATGGTCACATCCAAGAGATCCAGTAAGACATAGGTTAAGTGGGTGTGCCAGGGAGGCTGAGGCAGGAGGATTTCCTTAAGGAGAGCCTGGCTTCCGTAGCCAATGCTAGGCCTGCCTGGAGGATGGCGTTAGGGCAGTGTCTTGAAACCAAAACCAAAAGAAAGCCCGGAGTGATGAGTTGGGCGTTTCTCTCACTGCTTAAGAGTTTAAAAGGAAAACAAAAGGAAGAGTCAGCAGGACAGAAATTAAAAAATCAAACCCAGGACTTATTATAAGCCTTAGCAAGCAGCAGCAGAGAAACCCGACCAGGAGGTAGTCCAGTCCGGGATGCACCCCTTGGCTTTTGGGAAGGGACCCCTGCGTGCGTTCCCAGGGTTAGGACGCAACGCGGTGGAAGGTTTCAAACCCCGCGGGCGCTGGTGCATGTCCGTGCGCTGTCCTGCGGGTGTCTAATCTCTCGCTCTTCTGGGTAGAGACGGTGTTGGGGTGCAGATGGCGCACTTGCTAAGCATCACGGCTCGCGGCCAGGAGGCAGTGGAGACCTGCCCCTCCGCCCCTGAGATGGGTTGGGGAGAGGTCTGGGAGAGCAAATGAGAGTACCCGGAGAGACCCCAAGTGGCTTTCCCGCGTGTGTCCCCCTCCCGCAAACCCCGCAGCGCCCCCGTTCCACCTGTCCCCGTTCTGGTCGCCTGGGACGCGGCGCCCACAGGCGGAGGCCAGGTGTTAGGGACCTTGGGTCCCGGGATTCAGGAGGCGGAGGCGCGCGAGCGGGCATGCGCAGTGGGCGGAGGCGGCGGCGATGGCCCGGGGAGGCGGGGGGACCGCTGTTTATTTGCAGCTGGGCCACCGCGGCGGCCGA